TTCTGCTTTCATTGCGATATCCCTTGTGACTTCACAGAAATGTAGTCAGCATATACTGAATGTTCAAAGCTATATTCTATTCATATTAAGAACGATTGCTTGCAATCCACGTAGAGCGAAACCAACTGTTCCCTCAGTTCTATACCATCTTGGGCACAAAAAGCACATTCCCATTTCACAACTCAGATATTTTTATTTGACTGATCATTCTGAGGAAGGAAGTCTCTTATGGCTGAACCAAACCTATTACATGCTTGATTCAGTAAATCTGAATTTACAGAACAGTGGAAATGATGCAATTTCCCACATGGTGCTTTAAGTGAGAATAGCTTTTTAAGGGAAAGAATTGTTCTCCTTTCTACTACACAGATTGGGCCCTTGAAAGCATCCCAATTCAGGTTTCACCAGGGCTAAACGGGCTAGCTAGGTCAGTACTGAGTAAATTTAACCCTTATGCAGCAAATAACTCAGAAAAGATGTATTCTTGAATTCAAGTTTACTATTTAACTAGGCATCGCACTGTTCAAAAGACTGAAACGTATCCCCGCGAGGTCTACCTATATCCTACTACTGTTGTGTCTAATACTATAGCTATACATTCCCCACAGTGGGATTTGCAAAACTCTCTCAAGTGTCCCGCTCAGTTTTACAGAAACTACTGGCTCCATTCCTTTTTGCTTTCATTACAGGTCACTACACTACCAGGCAATTTTCATGTTTGCTCACATAGCATGTCCTAGAATATAACAGGGGTTTAGGTTGTAGCCATGTTGGTCTAAGGACATAGGCAGACAAGGTTCCTTGGGTGAATTCGATATCTTTTATTAGACCAATTTGTCTAATAAAAGATATCAAATTCACCCAAGGAACCTTGTCTGCCTAGAATATAACATGCACTTTGTATTTGAAAGGCAGAATAAAAAGATCTTTCCTTATAGTAAGTAACTGAATAGCAGCAGCTAGAGATCTGAGCATGCTCCCCGTCTACTCTCTGCACGTCACATGAAGATTTTACTTCTACTTTAGCCCAGTCACTAGCAAAAAAAGCTCTTACCATATTTCTCACATATAATGTGCAGTGAAATATCCAGGAGGTGGGTTTTTTTTGCGGGGGGAGTATGTGCTATATGCAAGAAAATATAGTACAAGGAGTTTTATGTTGCTCGTTATTTTTATTTACAATTAGAAGGCCTTTACTGTAAGAATATATTTTGAACCTTTACAATAAGTCTCAGTCAGTGAAAATTTAGCTTTCAAAGAAACGTTTATTAGAAAAGAAGCATGTTAAAAAGCTGTACACTAATTAATACTAATTTTCAAAGAATATTAAAGGAATACATAAAGCATCTCACCTTTCAGCCAGTTACATTTCTGATCTATGGAATGGCATTATTTAATTTAGCTTTCAGAACTTAATTTTCCAATAATATTTGATTTTTTCCTTTTTGACATAGACAGTTGGAGTGCTATGTCCACCCCCACTGTTCACATTCCAAGAATCCCAAGACTGCTATGTTCACGCTCTCAGATGTCTACTACTCTTATGCATAGTACAACACTTAATGTTCCTAAATTTTTATCACAAATAGCAAACAACATAAGTATCTAACTTGCAGAAGCAAAATGTACAATACAATTATATCATTTTAAATTTTCTTCAACTCTAATCTCAAAACCTCACAAAGGATACTGTATTTTATCACGTATAACACATCTCCAAATACAGCACTCACCCTATTTTTGGAAGGGCCCCAAGAAGGGAGTGGGGGGCGACTTACCAGGGAGTATGGGTAAGCACCAGAGGTCTGGGACCTCCAAGGCTGGGACCACAGGGCCCAATCCAGCCCTGCAGCAGGACCCAATCCAGCATGCCATGTGGTAGGACCCAATCTGACAAACTGGCACTGAAGCTACATGCTGGGCCCAACCCTGCACACTGGCTCCAAAACTGCAGGATGACTCTGGAGCCATGTGCTGGGTCCAGGGCTGAGGAGAACTGAGAAAAATGGGCATTGCCTTGTATTTTATTCCAAGGGGGCTGCACTAACCTATCCTTGTGGTAGGTTCCTATCAGCATGTTTCCTGAACACAGGCCATGTGTTTTATAGCATGTTCAGTGTTGGCTGCATTTAATCAACTTCATAGCTGGTTTCCATTACTGAGCACATGCTGCTTCTGGCAGCAGTTTAATGACAGACAGTGTAGTTAATAAGGTTTCCTTGGATGCACATATGAAATAAGAGGCTTTTTTCCCCCTGCCCCTTCACCCCAACAGACTAACCAGCTGGGCATATCAAAGCCCCCATAGTGAGGGAGGGAGTAGGGCAGGGGTTGGGGTGGGGCACAGGACAGAGCCGTGAGTGGCTTGTCCAGGGTCATGGCTCCCCCCGCTGAGTGCACTCCTAGGGGAAGGCAAGGGGGGGCACATGCCTTCCCCCTCTCCCTCCCCCCCAAGATCTGTGTGCAGGGCGAGGGCGGGCTGGGGGCACATGCCCCCCTCCCTCCCCTAGGGGTGCGCACAGTGGCAAAAGCTGTTCCCCCACCACACCCCCTGGATGAGCCACTCACGGCTTCACCCCGCACTCTGGTGGGGCAGCGCCTGCCCCTGCCTTAGCCCAGCCCCACTCCCTCCCTCACCACAGGGCCTCGATCTGTACCCCCCCACACTCTCCTTCACCCCAACAGATTTACCAGCGGGACGCTGTTCTCCAAGCTTCCAGGCTGGCCGCACGTAGGCTGGGGCTGTACGCATGCACGTGGCATTTATCAGTGACATTATCGGCCACATCAAACAAAAAAAGCTGATTGCTGATAACGTCAATTTTCCTTTTATCAGTTCTGATACAATATGGACCAATGTATGGATGCACCTCTATTAAAAATACATGTCCCATTGTCCTGCTAGTCTTATATATGAAAGCTGCCCAGGGAAGTTGTAGAATCTCCTTCGTTGGACATTTTCAGGAAGATATTAGATAAGCATGCATCTGGGATGGTTTAGGCATGTGATTCTCAACCAGGGAGCCACAAGGATTCTTGTAAGGGTGCTGTGGGGTCCCATGCTATGTTAGCACTGTTAGGTGTAGACACTGACACATGATTCACAATACAAACCCAGAAATTTCACATAGGAATCTAGTGTCAAAAGCATTCTGACCTGTTGTAGTCTCTCAGTTCTGTGCAACAGAATACTTGCTCAATCACTTTCCCATAATCAAGAAATGAGTGAAAGCTAAGAGCTGGCATTTTCCAAGGGGTGCCCTTGAGTCTAAAAAGTTAAGAACCCTTGGTTTAGGAATAGCAAAACCTACTTCTGTGCAGGGGCATGGACTACAAGACCCTAGCAGTCCCTTCCAAATTTACGCCATCCAGTAGAAAATCAGCATTTGATTCCACAGTATCACAGGAAGAAAAATATAATGGAATTACTCAACCTATGACTGCTCTTGCTCTCTCTGACGATATCAAGCATTTGGTATTGAATGAGTCATTATATGCACTGTATATATTGCTCACCAGACAAAGAACTGGCCAAGCTACCCCTCCGTAGTTTGCAGTCATCTTGACTTAGCTGACGATGGAGTTTAGTTTTCCCAGTGGATGAAAAGATATCAGGGTTACTGAGCTTCCTGCACCGCAGGGGAGGGGGTTCTATTACCACATCCTGGAGGAAAGAGAGAAGAGAGATAACAATTTGTAAGAATCACCTAAATAGGTTTAAAAAAAACAGACAAATGCCGGGACACTAATGACCTCAGTTTATGAATGGTCTTGATGCCTGCCTCTTCTTACTACAGAAGTTATAGACAAGCTGCCATTGACTGTCGACTTTGCAAGCTATCACGTATTGTCGCAGAGTCCAGCATGAGACCCTACAGTCCTATTAGGGATTCATTGGCATTATCATAATACATAAGAGGAGTCAGAAAGAAAACTTCTCCCAAGCATGTAAGTAAGGTCCTTTAGTAGCTTCCCACTCTCCTCTAGAAATTCTGAATATGTGAAGAGGAAGACAGAATAATTTAGGATAATGTACATATTTAAATGAAATCAGAGTCGTGAAAAGGCAGGATACATTTTATCAATTCACATGAGAGGAAACATGCCAATACAGAAACTGAAACAAAAATATAGCAAACACCCTGTGAATAAAATCATTTACACTCAACTGGTTATTTTTTATACTTATTCCACTCAAAAAACTATATCCTTGGCCTGAACTAAGGATCATCAGATCATCTTTGTAGAATGTCTTGGGTCCTACCATCAAAAAACCCCAAGATGTGTACTTGTCACACGCACAAACTATTTACACCAGAGAGAAAATATTTAAATCAGAATTGAGCCAGGCAGAAGAACAATGATGGTTATAGTTATTCTATTTTCACTACAACTTGTAAAGATTTTAGATCTGGTACAAATCAGTATTAGGTCAATTAATATCTTGCAATGATTTCCAAGGCTGTTATATTGCATAGATTTAAACCAGTAGTTTTCAACCTATGGTCCATGGACCCCTGGGAGTCTGCAGACTTGTGTCGAAGGGGTCTGCAAAAGATGACTAGGACAAATCAAATGCATGTGAATAACCACACTTACAATTTGAAGGGGTTTGCATCTCCGTTCAAAATTTTTAGGGGTCCGCAAATGAAAAAAGGTTGAAAACCACTGATTTAAAAGATCCTGTGATACTTTTTATAAGTCTTCACTACAGTCCTTGGCCAAGTTCCCCCTCCTCTACTGGCAGGTAAAATGCTGTGCATGTATTATGGAACTGGTGCCTTCCTTCCATAGCACAGGAATCCACACATTTTTAATGCTCTTTCTGCTTATAAAATACTCACCTAAGAGAATGGGTACAATTTGCAGGTAACAATTTGTCTAGCCAAGCCAGATGATTTTATACCAACGTTGAACCAAATTTTTCACATCTGAACTTTCAACCACAAATCTGTCCAGAGTAATGAAGCCCCATAACTCATCACTTGGCAGAGTCAGCAAAGCAACAGGGCTAATTAGCTGCAAGGAAGTGCAGAGGGCAGCCTGCAGGGAGGCCGACTGCCAAGCAGTAAGCCTGCAGATAGATGATTAGCAGTGTCTGGGCCTTGTTGCACAGGAGAAAGGGTCAGATGACAGGAAGCAGTGGTCAGTGGGTGTGTAAGTCTGACTCCATGCCGCTGCCCGGATGGAGCACCATGCTGCCACATGTCCTTGGCTCCATACCAATGCATACCTCTGACTCCGCGCTGCCTGAACACAGTTCTGTGCAGCCACGCACCCCGAGCTGTGCCATGCGGCAGTGCTAAGGGAGTACAGCCGTGCACTGCTAATGGCATGCACTTCTTGGGGCAGTGAGAAGTTATATCTGCTTGGAAAAAAGGCTTGCTGAGCGCCCTGTGACAGCTGAATCAGGTGTTTGCTGTTACTTATGCATGAATCACAAATTGTGTTACAACTAAGAAGTTTAGTTAAAGTTTAAAGGAAAATGTTTTGAGGCCTTGTGAGCGATGGCACAGCTGAAATTAATCATGTAAGGAAAACATGAAGGCTTGTACTGCTATTGGTTAGTCATATAAGGAAAGTTTGCAGCGTAAAGATTGTGAGTGGCTGTGAGCCAACAGCATAGCTCAAAGGTTATAAATTTGCTAGCACATCTGGGAATCGACAGAAGGGACACGCAGCATAGTAGAAGAAGCTATCACTGTAAGGAGGAGCTGCTGACTTGGATTCAGTGGGCCGGTAGATCTTGAGGAGCCCAAAGATTGAATACCAGGGTCCTTCCCGGTGTCCCCTTGGACAGCGCAAATTGGGGACGCCTGACTTTGCTGAATTTTGAAAGGCTTGTCGTATACTAGGCATCAAAGGGGACTGCCGATAAGTTGCCGTCTCAAAATTTTATTGTCTGTCATTGTTGTCTTATTATACTATGTGTAGTTGTGTGTTAGATCAATAAGCCTTTCTTACCTTTTACTCCCGACCACTCTCTCAGTCCCGAACCCTCCCACTGAAGGCCGGGGCAAAAATTGGCATCACGAACAGGATTGAGAGAGGAGGTATGGAGGGAGTTGGGTGGGCCCCGTTTGTGGCTTTGCTTAAGGAGGTGACGGGGAAGGAGAATCCCTGGTGGGATAAGGATAGATTGAGATCTGCCTGGAGTGACCCGGAAACCGTACCCGATCAGTGGGCTAGGTTCACTGCTGCCACCGGGGTAAACCCAAGAAGGAGTGCCTATCATGGCTGCTGGCCACATGCCTGCAATTTGGGGCAGAAGAGAATGCCCAGCCCTGGGAAGAGGTCACCTGGTTGGGTAAGAGCTGGAGGACGTAAGGGATCCCAACATGGCATGTGGCATAAGAGTGGCATGTGAGGCTGTGCAAGCTGCCCATAGTCGCCTAGAGGTTTTAGAAGGAAAGGAAGGAAAGATTATGATTGCGCGCGTGGCCGCTTCCTTTCAGAGAAAGGCGCAGTTGGCACAGGCTGTACAGCCTCCCCTTCAAGAAGGTACGACAGTACTTGCATGGTGAAAAACCAGAAGTGGAGCTCTGGGAAGATCACGGGGAGGGAACGGATGAGGGGAAAGAGACCGACGACGAGCCTTGTGCTGAACTGCCCCCATATGTCCCCGCCTGGAGGGAGCAGCCCAACCAAGCATTTCCAGTAGTAGCAACTCGTACAGGGCCGCAAGGGGGAAACCCCCGAACAGAGCTACGCTCCTTTATCTGCACAGAGATTCGAGATATGCAGGAGCAGCATAAGTCCAAGCCAGGGGAGCCAGTAATAGACTGCTTAGTTCGAATGTATAGCGAAGGGCCCTCCGCAATATCAGTAAGCCATGCGAAGGCAGCCCAACTCATCCAGCACCCCAAACTCCAGTTGAATCAGTTAGCAGGAAGGGTGAAAATGTTACTGTTTTCTGCCGCGCTACAGGCGACCGGTGTCAGTTATGGTAATATGGAAGAACTTAACCCCGCCCCTCAGGTGTGGGCCAATTTGGAGGAGGCTGTCTGCTGCTTGTATCAGTAAGCGCTGACTGAAATCATTCGTGAAGGAGCTTGAACTCACACGCTAGATAAGGAAGCTGTGCCAGCACTGGTGTGGAGGAGTTTTTGCCGGTGAGCACCAACGGAGTGCACCTCAGCCCTGTTGGCCTTGGAGCTGGAGGCAGTGGGCAACCCGGTAAGAGATGCGATCCAGCGATTACTGCAGCTCCTGCCTATCTTGCAGAAGCCAGGATCTGCAAACCAACGAAGGGCACCAAGGCCATGGTAGTGGCCCCAAGGAAGGACAAACCCCCTGACCCTCCCAAACTGTTGGGGAAGGCCAGAGAAGACTGGCCCAAGGCTCCATGAATAAAGTTGTGGAAAGACTTGTTGGCTGTCGATTTCAATAAGGTACAAATTGATGGACTGCCCACCAATGTCCTGCGAGGGCTATGGGCTAAACACTGTAGCAAAGGGGCAAGCCTGAAAGCAGAACCTTCTGCACCACCAGCAGTGTCACCAGGGGGGTTTTCTGCCCTAAGGGTGGAACTGTTGACATTTTCCCAGGCACATGCAGGGCCGCCACCACTTACCTAGGAAGTCTGGCCGGCCCGACCCCCACGGGAAGAGGCCACCATGTGGGCGGTAGTAGGCCACGAACTAGCATCTAATATTGGCTCCTTAATTCAAATACCCATGCAGATTCAATTAGGTAAAAGCGAGAAGTCAATCGATACGCTATTAGATATGGGTGCCCAGATTCGTATTTAAATTCCACAGATTGGAAGGGGGAGAAAGGAACCCCTTATCAAGTAATTGGGGCCGGAGGCACTAGAACAGGCTTGTCCAACATGCGGCCCGCCAAGGCATTTTCTGTGGCCCATGGTGCTGCAACGGGAAACGAAGGTAAACATGGTTTACTTTCGTTCCCACCCCTTGTCCCTCCCCCAACCCCTCAGCAGCTTCCTAATGGCTGCTGAAGGGCTGGGGAAGGGACAAGGTTCCCACATGCACAGTGTCAACTCGACGTTGCTGACGCGGTGTGTGTGGGAAGAGGAGTGCAAACCTGGCCTGCCTCCTCCCATCCCCAGCGCCATGTGGGAAGCCACCGCTTCCCGGCCCGAGCGACTCGCTGCTCCCCGCTCGCAGGCGAGAGGCAGCCCAGCTTGGCTGCCCAGCCCCGGGTCACTGGCAGAGGCGGAGCAGGGCGGGCAGGTGCCTCCTCTCGTCAGGCTGTCGGCATTGGCCGCGCTGCACAGGGCAGCCCCGGGCTCGGGCGGAGTCTGCGCTCACTACACCCTGAGGTGCCGCCCGGCCCCAGCTCTGGCTCCCTCCAGCCGGGTGCAGCACGGCAATGCAGACTCACAGAGGCAGCGCAGTGGCTGGGCTCGCTCTCGTTGTCTGCCTCTGCCGCCTCCTGCCCAGCTGGGGCGCCGCAAGTAGGGCCAGGCCAAGAAGACGGTGCCTCCCCCAGGGCCGGGCCGGTGGGCTCCTGGCACCTGTGTGTGTGTGGGGGGGGGGGTCTTGCCTTTCACAGGGGAGACTCTTTGCCGTTTTTGGTTGCAAAAGGGAAAATGGGGGCAGAGAAGTTAGTCTTGCTGCATTTGAGAGAGGCAAGTGTAAGTCCTGCTTTCTACTTGTGCTAGAAGCTGCCTCCTTTTTGCCCCTAGCTGTATTTGGGAACTGAGTCATTTATTCTGGGCAGTCCAAGGTGATCCAACATAATGCCACATGGCTCCCTGTGTGCTTTTCAGAAAGAAGCTTGTGTGCCCTAACTTTGCTGTCCCTCTGTGCTAGTAGGGAAACTTGTCTCCCCTGCATGACCACACAAGTGTTTGGTATTATTTCTTTGTTGCTTTTTATATTGTTTTTATTTTGGATTGTAAACCACATTTCCAGACCCATTTCATTGTCACTTCCTGCAACTTCATTGGTGTCAAAGGTCACGTGACATCACTTCCTGATGTGATACCACTTCCTGTGAGGTCTTTGAATATGGCTCACCGGCCCACTGGGTGATAAAGTTCATGACCCAGCCCCACATTCAAAAAGGTTAGACACCCCTGCACTAGACGACCAGGACATCTGGTCCGAGCAACCTTCGCATTACCTAACGGCTCTAAGGTAATGGCAGCAGCAGTAATACTTAAAGGGGGACCAAGCTTACTAGGACTAAATGTACTAAGAGGACAGCGGTTTGCCCTGGAGCAAGAGCATCGGCAGTTTGGGTGCGCAGTGCCTCACCAGGAACCAAAAGAAATGGCTATAGCAACCATAACTCAATGTAGCATGACCCCATTAATTCTGCTTCCCATGAAAGGAGTACACCGGCCCCAGTACTGAACTAAGCCTGAGGCCACACAACCTATCCAGTGTATTGTAAACCAGCAGTTAGAAGACGGAACTATTATCCAAACCTACTCTCCGTATAACAATCCAGTGTGGCCAGTGCGCAAGGCAAACGGGGGGTGGCTGCTGACTATTGGCTTTCAAGCTTTGAATGCTAATACCGACCCCCTGGCAGCTGCCGTCCTGTCTCTACCAGCCTTAACAGAAGACATCCGGTGTTATGGGCCTGCGTGGATGAGATCCGTTGGTATTAAGGACATGTTTTTTGCTATTCCCATCCATGAAAGCCATTGGTCAGTGTTTGCTTTCACAGTATACTTACACCGTGCTGCCCCGGGGTGGATACACAGTGCCACCCTGGCTCATGGGGTTCTAGCTACCGTAGTTTGTGAGGTCCAAGAAAAGTGCCCTGACGTACACGTGGCAGTATATAGATGACGTCATGGTGAGCAGTCAAGACAAAAAGACTGCCATCAAGGCCTTTGAATCATTAAAGGAGAGGGTGCGTGCTTTTGGATTCACCTTGTCTGACCAGAAAGTCCAAGGGGTAGGACCCCATTGTGAATTTCTAGGGATAAAATAGCAGAATGGGGAGCCCACAATACCAACTGAAGGGCTGTGGAGTATAGTGGAGACCCCGACTCCCACCGATATGAAGGAACTGCAGGCCCATTTGGGAGCGCTCAACTTTTGGCATATGCACATTCCTGAGTTTGGTGTATCAGCTCGTCCATTGTATAACCTGTATAAGAAGAACACTAAATGGGAACGGGGTCCTGAACACGAATATCCATTACAGGCCCTTAAGAAAGCAGTAACTGTCCATGCCTCCCTAGCAGCATGACATCCAGAAGGAGAGCTTTGGCTTCATGTAGGTGTCTCAGAAGGAGGACCACATTGGAGTCTGTGGCAGAAAGAGTCCTCAGAGGCAAAAGGAAAGCCCCTTGGATTTTGGAGCCGAGGC